TACCTCAAACAGAAATACCCTTCAGGAGTGAGGATGAGATACATTTTGCAACACGTAAGGTTCAAAGGAGTTCCTCACTAGTAGGCCATCCCCAAAGCAGAGTCTGAAGAGCATATTTCATTCAGAAAAGAGTGATACCAGAGGAAAGGTCTGAGATGCAGGAGGAATTATGAGCAAAGAATGTGGAAAGATAAGGACAATAAAATGATGATAATGTTCTCTTGGATTAGAGGAATGGGAAAGTACAAGCATCCAAATAATTCCACRTAAATCAAGGGGAGGAATGATCAGAGTTAAAGTGGTCTCACTTGCTGTTGTACAATAGAGGGTCAAGATACTAATCTCAGGGGCTGGGGATGTGGCTCAAGCGGTAGCGCGCTCGCCTGGCATGCGTGCGGCCTGGGTTCGATGCTCAGCACCACATACAAAACAAAGATGTTGTGCCTGCTGAAAACTAAAAAATAAATATTAAAAAAATTCTCTCTCACTCTCTCTCTCTCTGTGTCTCTCACTCTCTCTTTAAAAAAAAAAAAAAAAGATACTGATCTCAACTTTACATGGTTTATACAGCTGCCAGAATGAACAGAGTAGCTACTTAACAAAAGTAATCTGTAGATTCCAGGGAGTGTTAAGTTATTTTTTATTTTTTTGAAATTTGACAGAGTGATTCTAAAATTTATTTGGAAGGAAAAAAGAATTACTCTTATACTCTTAAAGAATGGGGATGGAAGTAGGGTGGTATGTGTGACTTGCCCTAACTAAATGACAAGAATCAGAATGGCAGTTATCAAGAAAGAATACAAGTAACAATAAGTGTTGGCGAGGATGTGGGGGAAAGGCACACTCATACATTGCTGGTGGGACTGCAAATGGTTGCAACCACTCTGGTAAAAAGTGTGGAGATTCCTCAGAAAACTTGGGATGGAACCACCATTTGACCACTTATCCCACTCCTCAGCATATACCCAAAGGACTTAAAATCAACATACTACAGTGACACAGCCACATCAATGTTTATAGCAGCTCAATTCACAATAGCTAAGCCATGAAACCAACCTAGGTGCCTTCTAACAGATGAATAGATAAAGAAAATGTGGTATGTATATACAGTGGAATATTACTCAACCATGAGAAAGGATGAAATTATAACTTTTGCCAGTAAATGGATTTATTAGGAGACTATCATGCTAAGTGAAATAAGCCAATCCCAAAAAACCAAAGGTCAAATATTTTCTTTGATATGCATATGCTAACACACAACAATCCCGGAGGGGAAGAATAAAAGTTCAGTGGATTAGACAAAGGGAAATAAARGGAAGGAGGGTGGAGAGGAATAGGAAAGATAGTAGGAAAAAATTTTAAACTATAAATAAATAGAAAGTCAATAAAGTAGAGGAAAGGGAACAGAAGGAGGGAATGGAAAGGGGAAGTACTGGGGCTGAATTAGAGCAAATTATATTCCATGCTTGTATAATTATGTTAAATGAACTGTATATTATGTATAACTAAGTGAACTAATAATTCTTTTCTGAAAATTTTTAATTCAGAAAAGAATTATCAAGCTAAAATACTTGTATGGTGTTGGCATAAAATAGAGAAATCTAAAACTAATTCCTAAATGGAAGCAATGTAAGACTAAGAGGAGTTTCAGTCAAAGGAAGAACAGACATATTTTTCAATGAATAACGTTAGGACAATTAGTAATTGTTTAGGAAAAAAGATCTGTGCTTTACACTGAATATATAATCTCAGGTTGGATTAAAGATGTAAGTATGAAAAAGCAAAAATATAAATCTTTTAGAAGACATTATAATACAGAATCTTTATGACCACAATATAAAGAAAGATTTCTTAAAATTACACAAAAAGTGCAGACCGTAAAGGTAAAAATTGATAAATTCGACTTTATTAGAGTTAAGACCATCTAAGATACCACAAAGTTACCGTGGATTTAGTCTGTATCCATTAAGGTCACATTCCGMAATATTTAATAATGAATGATCTTGCATCTGCTTTGAAACTGCTCCAGAAAACAACGCAAAGAGAGAGGAAACCAGAAGGTAGACTGTTAGCCCAACGCAGTGGTGGGCACCCGCCCAGAAGGCTGAGGCGGAGGACCAGGGTGGGAGGCCAGCCTAGGCAACAGGCCGGGACCCCGTGACCCTCACAGCTGGATGGGAACAGGAAGTGTATTAAACTCTCTATTTTCTGTGTGTATAATTGAAATTGTATATTTTTTAAAATGTTTTTTTTTAATTTGACCATCATAGATTTATTGCAATGCCCAGATTGTTCAGAAGTGTAAACTTTTTTTAAAATATCATTTTCTAGCCAGGCACAGTGGCACACACCTGTAATCCCAGCTACTTAGAGAGGGAGGCAAGAGGATCACCAGTTCAGGGCCAACCTGGGCAACTTAACAAGGCCCAGTCTCAAAATTTTAAAAATATGTTAAAAGGGCTCAGGAACCTCCTAGGTTCAATCCCCAGTACCCAAAACACACACACAAAAATTGTTTTCTGAAAAGACTGTTTGTTAAATATATATCTAAATGCAATCTGAGTAGGAATTTCCTTACAAATTAATAAATCATAAAACAATTTTTTAAAATTAGGTGAAGACATTTGTAACACGTAGAACCAAAAGATCAGTGCCCAAATATTAAGCAAAGAACTCCTGCAAGTCAAGGGATCTGAACAGACATTTATCCAAAGAAGATATAATGCCAACCAGCACATGGAAAGACTCTCAGTATCGTTAGCCACTAGGGAAATGCAAATCAAAACCACAGCAGAATATACTCTTACCCACTAGAATGACTAGAATCAAAAAGAGATGATAACAAATAAAGGAGATATAAAATGGTACTTTTGAAAAGTTGAGCATTTCTTCAGATAGTTAAACATAGAGGTACCATATGACCAAGCAATTAATTTCATTCCTAGACTTATACTCAAAAGAAATGAAAACGTGTTCAAATAAAAAATTGAACATAAATGTTTATAGCAGCATAATTGATGATAGTAAGAGGTAGAAACAACCCCAATGTCCATAACTGATGAATGGATATATAAAATGTAGCATATATATACAATGGAATATTATTCAGCCATAAAAAGGAATAGAGTATGCATGTGTATCAAAGTGTGGAGGAACTTTAAAACATTATGTGATCCAGGCATGTGATGCATGCTCAGGAGACTGAGGATGAAGGATGACAAGTTCCAAGCAGCCTCAGCAACTTAGCGAAGCCCTGAGCAACTTAGCAAGACCCTGTCTCAAAATAAAAAATAGAAAGGGCTGGGGATGTGGCTCAGTGGTTAAGTACCCGTGGGTTCAATCCCTGGTACCCACCCCCCCAAAAAAAACCTGGTAATCACAAATGACAACAGATGGTAGTCACCAATGACCGTGTTGTGTGATTCCATTTATTTAAGATGTCCAGAGTAGGAGAATTCTACACAGACAGAAAGTCGATTAGTGGTTACCTAAGTCTGGAGCATGAGAAGTAGAGGGGTGATGGCTAAGGGATACGGGGTGTCTTTGAGGGTAATGAAAACGTTCTGAACTTGTGATAAAGGCGCGACTCTAAACATAGCAGAAGCTGTGGAATTGTACACCTTAGTTGAGCACATTGTATGATATGTGAATTCTCCCAAGAAAGCTGCTTTTAAAAAGCAATAATAACTCAACAGGAAAATAAACAAGGCACCTCCAGCCGTGTCACGGAGGAGACACGCATGCCCAGGAGACACCTGAAAAGAGGCTCGGCCTCCTTCCTAGCAGGAAAACGCCAGCTAAACACAGTGAGATGCGTAAACTCATTTGAGTCACCAACAAGTGTAAACTGAGCAGGGCCTTTTCTCTACCTGTAAGGGATGCGGAGAAAGTGAGGGAAGCCCAGTCCCTGTCGCAGAGACATGGACTGTCATTTAGAGAGGTGAAGAAGCCAGTGTGGATGACCTGGCATTCCTCTCCTCTGGAAACCCAGAGCTGGCTCCAGGGGCGTCCTGGGCCACGGAGACAGAGCCACAGGAGCACTGTAAACCCAAACCACTCAGAACCCCACCAAACGTCACCTAGGGACACACGGACGTGGTGATCAAACACTGTTAAAAACAGGGGAAGGATCAATGTGAAATTCAGGATAGTCAGAATAGGAAAGAACAGAGAGGGTCTAGCAGGGATGCTGAGGATGCTGTGTCCCCATGTGTCCCCACCTTAAACTTGGTGGTGGGGACACATGGGGACACAGGCACGGGGGTAGAACACAGAGCATTATCTGACAGGCTGACGTTGAGAAAAGATTTTGAAAATCTCAGAATACATGGAATCGTACAGTTTTCCATGCAGCTCAAAGTGCTGATGCTGACTCTGAGATTCTAGAAAAGATGAACATATTTGAGAATCAAGGGCTTTGTTTATGGATGGATTGAAACAGGGTCTCACTGTCTTGCCCAGGCTTTGGGCCTGGTGGTGAGCTCCTGTAGTCCCAGCTACTTGGGAGGCTGAGGTAGGAGGATCACTGAAACCCAGAAGTTCTAGACTAGCATGGGCAACATAATGAGGCTTGGACTCTTTTATTGATTTGTTTGTTTGTTTATTTTAATTGTAGGTTTATTTATTTTAGATGTAGATGGACAGTATCTTTCTTTATTTTTAGGTGGTGCTAAGAATCGAACCCAGTGCCTCACATGTGCCAGGCAAGCGCTCTACCACTGAGCCACACCTCCAGCCCCGTGGAGTCTTAAAAATAAATAGATAAGCTAAAATACAATTTTTTACAAGAGAGAGAAAAACGCAAAACCAAGAAGACTATCAAAAAAGCAGCAGCAGCAAAACAAATGTTTTAGGAAGGTTTCTAGCAAAAGTGGTTAAAACAAGAGTTTTGTTCTTCCAGGGGAACATTCGGGCGGCACTTCATTAGGAAAACCATCCATTGCTGGGAAGCCGTGAGCCGCTCTCTCCCGGTCACTCAGTGGTTGGCATTCTCTTTCCAGATCCTGCTCACACTAACAGATGAACCGCGAACGCACAGAGGAAGAACCTGTCCACTGCTCCTGGGCGCGTGACTGAGGGTGAAGCATCCGCCAGTGCTGCCAAGGGTCCATACTATTTTTTTGCTGCCTCAGAGTCCCCAAGGCCTTCAAGCAGAAGTGGCAGTAGATGGTTGCCATCTCCCAAGCGAGACACTGACTGGGACAACAGGAGAACAGAACCTCTGGGTTTGGGTGGAACTTGGCAGTGGGGACGTTCAACTGAGGCCTTCTCTACTCCGTCCGAGCACACGTGTGTCTTCACCTTCCCTCACCCCGCCCCCAGCCTGCTCAGGTCTCCTCTGTCCCTTTCCTGCTGCCACACAGAGATGATATAAAAGAGGCTCTTTGGCTATTCGCATCTTGCTTCCTCTTCTTTTCCAGTATTGAGCTCTGTTTGCTTTGTTCAAGCTTAAAGCCCCAATAGCAGTACCTACCAGAGTTGTTCTGCCCTTTCAGGGGTCCTGGGGAAGGGAGCGCACATCACCTGTTTCCCAGAGCGTGGAGGCAAGTTGGCCCGCGCTGACATGAGCCAGGGTAAAGGCACCCTTTGGAATTACTGATTTCTAAGATTAATAAAGTAATTCTATTTTTTTTCTTTTCTTTTTTTTATTTAATAATCCTCAACAATCAGTATTCACAATCAAGACTGATATAGAACCAACTTTTCATTTTATTCTGTTGCTGGACAATTTTTTCAATTTGTTAGAAACGGAAGCTTTCAAGAACTGTGTTTCAGCAGATGATGGGTCAGGCTGTTCCCCCAGGGCAGCACCTGGGAAGCCCTGTGTCCAGATTCTCCACAGCCAGGCTGCAGCTGGAGGCTCGCCCCTGTGGTCCTCTAGTGGCATGTGACTCTGTCCAGTTGCCCTTCACCTCCCTCAAAGTTCCTGTGGACAGAGCAGCTCTGCCTGGACCATGCGGCACTTGGCCCTCTGCTGTCCTTCCCTAGGTCCTCACTCTGGCTTCTGCTGGAGAAAAGGCTGAGAGCCGGGCCACAGGCTTGACCTAGCTGTCCTGGGGAGTTACTCAGGGAGAATCCAGTATCTGGGCCTTCTACAGCAAAGTCCTATAAGCTCAGCATTGAAATCCAAAGAGAAAGTGACATACAGAGATTAAAAGGGACTTTACTGCCTTCCCGGGGACTGAAGAAAAAAAAAAAGGTTTGGGCACATTGAAGCACTGTGCCTGTGCAGGTTGAGGTCTCATTCCACATGTTCTGGGGACTCCTGGATCATGGTTTGAGAACCATCATAACTCTGTTCACTGGTTTGGGAGTTGGTTAAGAGACAAATTAGAATTCCTCCCTCCATAGTCTCCTGCTGATATCTAGAGTTGGGAAATAAGGGATTTGGAGAAACTCACCAAATGAATCTTGTGGAAAGGGGTAAGAGGGTATGAGTCTAATAAAAGAACTTTGAAAGCAACTGTAATACTGGGAATTGGCTACATAACTAATCAGACTTAAATGCTCAAGTTAATATCTTTCTTCATTCGCTGTGTGTTGACCAGGTGCTAAGACCAGATTCCTGACCTCCCTTCCTGTACCCATGTCCTCTCATTTTTATTGGTAACAAACCAGATTATTCAAGCCTTCTTCCAATAGAGGTATCTGTGTGTGTGTGTGTGTGTGTGTGTGTGTGTGTGTGTGTTGGTGGTGGTGGTGCTGGGGATTGAACCCAGGGCCTTGTGCTTGCAAGGCATGAACTCTACCAACTGAGCTATATCCCCAATCCTAGGTATCATTTTCAATGTCACTGTACCCTTCCCCAAAACTAGCATGTATCTTTGGAGACAGTGATTCCAGTGTCTGTAGTGCCTGTAAGTGATAATGGAAAGGGGAGGCTGGACGCTAGACTCTGCTCATATCCCTATCAGCTGCTTAATGGAGGAGTAGCTTTCTGACAAAGAATATTTGGGCTGGGTGCAGTGGTGCTCTCCTATAATCCCAGCTCCTTGGGAAGCTGAAGCAGGAGGATCTCAAGTCCAAGGCCAGCCTCAACTGTCTTAAAATAAAAAGGGCCAGGGATATAATTCAGTGGTAAAGTGTGCCTGGATTCAATCCCTAGTACCAAGAAAAAGAAAAGAAAACATTTGGAATCGCAGTATGTTCTGTTTTCTTTGGGATACTTCAGGAAACACATCTAGTTGTGTTGGTTCATTAGGATGGACCACCATCTGTGCTAATGGTGTTCTATGAGATTGCATTAAAACAGAGATTTAGTCTAAGGCCAAAAAGTTTATTTGCTTCTTATTGAAACCCCAAGTAAGGCCCAGTAATGTCGGATATAACACACCACTTTTCAGAATGCAGTTCTTAGGCATCCTGGACCCTGCCCCATTCATAAAGCCAGCTCTTGAGCTGCAGCCTGGAATTGTACATTTTCCCTAAACACAAAGGTGATTCTCAGGCTCACTGAAATTTGAGAATGGCAGCCACAAGTGAATGCACTGTGACATTTGGGATAATACCAGCTACAGCTGGCCTCCTGGACCACCCTCTCTACCCACTGGCTCCAAAGGTAAGATGGAGCTCTTTCCCACGCCAGGATTTTAGGGCGGGGACACATTATAGCCCCTCTGAAGGACAGTGAAAGACACAGGATGAAGACAGAGAGAAGCCTGGAGAATTGGCTGGGCACACATGGAGCCAGAAAAGAACTCCTGGTGACCAAAGTCGGAGGAGCAGGAAGGCAGAGGCCTGTACCCACAAACCGCCTGAGCCTATGGTGTGTATCCTTCAACCCGCAAACTGTGCTTCAGAGAGACTGTTCCCTGTGCTAAGGTGAGCTCGCCGGGGGCAGGTGGTTTTTAGGAGCTGCTAGGTGGTTCCTCACTCTGCACACTCACAGGGTGGACACCAGTGCCATAGCCGAATTCTGCCTTGCTTTGGGATCTGTGACTTCAAAAGAGCACTAGTGATTCTTTTCCCAAAGCCCTAACAAGAGGCCCCTAGTCTGAAAGGGCTCCTGGTTGGCTCCTTTAGCCTCATTCTTAGGCCATTGATCACAGACGGTTTCTCTCCTGCTCAGCTGATCTGGGGGGCTGAGATGTAATTTCCAAAAATGCTGATGTTGGTCATTTACATTGAATGTAGAAGCCACATTTCCATATGCAAGGGTTCACATTGCCAGTGATGTGGACGTCAAATTCTAGGCTTTCTGCGAATCTGAGCTACTGCCTGTGTGTATCTGAGAATAACATACTGTGCAAGGAGGGACACAGGGACAACAATGCTATTTTCTCAGGTGACAGGAGGCAGCACAGACCCTCTGTCCAGCAGATTCATGCTAAGCAATATATTTAATGCTTGAGAGATTCTCTGCCCAGATTCCAGTTACCACTAATTAGAAGATACTGACATAGAATTAAGAAAATGGTCATTAAGGATATGAATGGAGTGAGACATATACCTTAGAATAAGGCTTTTACTGTTCTAGAAACAATCTTCCAGAAGATGAAATCATCCACAATTCCCCAAAAATATTTATTCATACAAAGATTTTGAGAGTGATATTTGTACTTGTCTTTATACCTCAGTCAACTCATCTTGGGCCCAGTCACCACATGGCACATGTGGTGCAGCCTCCCCAGATGCCTCCCGTGTGGCACCAGCCTCCAGGAAGACCAGGTGGACACAAGGTCTCGAGAACTTGGAGGAGAGGAACTCCTCATGCTCAGAGGCTGCACAGAACCAGAATCCAGATATGTGCACCCTGGCCTGGAAGGTGTCCAGCCAAATGTCCAAGGGGAAATGTGATTGAGGATGAAGGCGAGAGGAGGGACCCGGAGGGCAGACAGGAAAGGGCCAGTTCCCACCCTTTGCTTCTGAGTTCAGCATCTCCAGGGGCCAATACAGTTGCTGGCCCAGGAACCATATTACATTACCTGGAATGACCCATGATGCTGCCTGATGTGGAAATGACAATTAAAAAAAAAAAATTGTCCTTAATCCCAGGTAGTACCAGGTGCAATTCTGGGACTTTGTCTTGGTGACCTGTCTGAAGGAAAGTGCTTGCCTCCTATGACACCATCCAGATTCCCCTAGAGCAATTGTGGTACAGCATTGAGCAAAGCTGACCTCAGATCCGAAGAGTCTTCCAGTCTRAGCCTGACCCAACCATCCTTTGTCCTTCCTTCTCCCTACTGTACCCAAGTCCCATTGCCACGTGACATGTCAACTTGCCATCCTCTTCCTCTAGCCCCACCACCTCTGTCTGCACCACAGAAAACCTGTGTTCCCAAGAGTTCGCCTTCCCCTAACCACCCCACACTTTCTTTACCACAGTGATTCTCAGAGCCAGCAAGAAAGAAATGTTCCAGAAGGAAGCCTCCGTCTCGGCCAAACGCCAGGAGCCGAGGGTTGTGGACGCCAGGCCTCTAGGTGAGGTCTGTCACTTTGGTTTCCCGAGGCGCGGGCAGTCGGGCAGGGGCAGCTCTCCCTCGTCTGTTGCAGGCCTCAGCTACACTTACACGACTTCACCACCATGTTGGAGAGCTGCTCCACCTTGGGGGTCCTCCCGACATAGTACAGAATGGTCAGGGGCTCCAAGTCCTGGGGCACACAGCAAGGTGAGGCCGACGCTTCCGGGTTCAGGGTGTTGTACAGCCCCAGCACCTGGAGTTCAGGGAAACAGCATTTAGAGGTGGGAGAGCCACGCCCCAGGCTTGCAGCCCAGGAAACTCTACAAGGTCTCAAAGACAGGGCAAGTGGTAGAACAGCCATTGATGCTRCGTAACAGGACTAGTGGGAACAGTTTGGATGACTAGTTGTGGCCATCCCCTAAGGCAGAATGCAGAACACGCACTGTTTGAGGGCTATCAGTTTAAGCATATCACAGTTATCAGAGGACTTTCAATTAATAAGGAAAGTCTTTTGGCTGGTAAGAAGATACTCCTATACTGGTCTTCCTTACTATAAAGGATCACTCTGGCGGAAAATGGTCTCACTAATGACTGCGGGGGCCATTTAGGAAGTGCCAGGGTGCGGGGCCCCCCCACACAGGATACAGGGCTAATGAGCTATAGGGAACCGTGCTTTGTGAAGACTGCCCTATTTTAATTCCCCTTGAGGAAAGACATGCTGCAGAGGTGTGAACTCTTTTGCTCACTTTCTCTTCCTGGAGTTTCAGGGCTGCTTCAGAATATGCTTTACATTGTCTCTCAGAAYGATGTTTGMACATTCGAGAGACTGCAGCTGTCAGAGTTCTTTGGTAGTGGTGACATTTCTTCCCCAACATTCCCTGCCAACCATGTACACACATCTCTGACATATAATTAACTTCTCTGGTACAAAARCTTTAGACAAAGCAAATACAAGGTCTGGTTGAAACTATGGTAGGGACTTTTTGTTTTTGAAGCTGAGATCCAACCCAGGCCCTTATACTCACTTGCACTCTTCCACAGAGCTGGTCCCTCCAGCACCTGTGGAAGGATTCTTCCTTTCTAATAGTAGATATTGAACCCAGGGGTGCTCTACCACTGAGCTACATTCCCCAGCCCTTTTTATTTTTTATTTTGAAACAGGGTCCTGCTAAGTTGCCAAGGCTGGCCTTGATTGCGAACCTCATGCCTTAGCCTCCAGAGTTGTTGGGATTACAGGCATGCACCACCACACCAGGCTCTGGGGGGAATTTTAAAAGGCAGGATGTGATCAAGTAGAATTAGGCCAGGGTACAAGGTCAGAACCTTTAATGAAGAGATTTTACTCACCCCAAATTATCATTTGCTCATTTAACATTCAATCATTCATTTGTTTTAACAAGTGGCCTGGTCAGCTCAGCCCCAGTGCCCAGACGGCATGTGCCCTGCTCCCTACCGTGCTGTGGGTCGTGTCTGCACTGCGGAGATAAGGACAGGGGCCTGAGCAAAAGTTGGCATAGTAGCCCTTAGGTTCGTGGACCCACTTCCAGCCCAGGTCCTGTCGGAAGTCAATGTAGAGGGGCCGCACACAGCAGTTCTCCTCCAAGTTGCTACAACAGAAAACATTAAACAGAAGATCAACCTACATGGAAGCCACCCATAAAAGAAACTTCACAGATGCCTTCATATTTCCCCCTGGAATCCTTCCATGCTACCACAGGAGGTGGGCCTTCACCAGAATCCCTTGCACAAGCACATGGTATAGAAGAGACCGGGAGGTGTCTCCCTGTGTTGAGCAGCAGGATCTCAGCCATGCAATAGGTAGATATAAATGCCACAGAAGGAAAAGTGAAGAGCTAAAAGTGACCCTGTCACCTTTTACAGCACACATCAAAACAGACATAAACTGTCYGGCACACGACCGAGCACTCACTTTACGTTATCAGCCATGTCCGCTTTGTTGGGGACAGCTTATCATGACCCTCCTGTTGCACACCCAGCCAGAAAGACGCTCACAGATTATGCAGCTTGTATCCTACTAGACATGACTGCTCAGACTAAATCTTGAGGCCATTTAGCCAAAATAGGGTACAGCCTCCTATTAGAATCACGATCCTCAGGTCCCACAAGTGTGAGTGGCAAGCCCCTCCGATGTGGTTGCCTGCAGAAATCCACTTGGTAGGACTCCTTGCCACATGGGCATCAAGACTCCACTTTAACGGGTCTCTTCCGCGACTTAGATCTTGGTACTTCCACAGGCCTCTCGGGCCGCCATTGGACAAAGTCTGGCTTCTGGAGGGTTCTAAGGTGGAACCATGGCAGAAACTACTGGTTATCTATGCAATCAACACCCCAAGTGCCCTCTCCCTTGCCACCTCCCATTATGGAGTCTGGAACACCAGATACTCGTTTTCCTAGCCTCCCTAGCAGGTAGGGATGGATGGTCCTGTGGCCCAGTCATGGCCAGCCACAGGAATAAGAAGTGTGCAGGGGTTCGTGAAAACAAGTTCTGGCAAAGACACTTGGTTATCAAAGTAACAGAAGGGAAAGGGAAGCTGCTGGCTCCTCTCCGTCTCCCCTTCTCCTTGCCCCAAACAGGGACAAGATACCTGAAGCCCCAGCAATCCCTTGTGGCCATAGGCAAGAGGATGAAGCGCCACCGTACCACGCAGGGCGGGCCAGAAGACAGGAAAGCGGCCACCTGAATGGCGTAATTAGGCAGCCCTCCGCCTGCTGCCACAGGCCTCCGGTGCATCAGAAGTCCCCTGTGGCTTAAGTCACTGTCCCTCGCAGCCAAGAGCACTCATTCCTCACTGATCAAGAGATGCCCAGGACAGACCTGCTTTCAGACAGGTGGTGACAGCCACCCTGCCTTTCCCATAGCCTCCGTTCCCAAGCCCAACATCCTATTTACCCAGTTGTTTTTCACAAGACACAGTTTCCACATCAAAGATTCCTCCGGTCCCTCCCTCCCACTCCATTCAGGAACCTTCTCCAGTCAGACTGACCCCATCCTGCTCCTGCCAGATCTCCACATGCCCAGATCCCTCCCATCCCAAAGGCAAGCTCAGATTCCACACCCTTCTGAAGCCTTTCCTGTATCCATGTGTGAACTCCTTGTTCCCAATTGTTAAAGTCCTTTATCCTTCAGACCCTCTCCTGATGTGAACTTTTTCTACCTTTTAATATTTAGTCTGCAGGCTTTACCCACCTCCCTCCTACAGCAGTTCCATACTCCCGAAGAAGGGGGAAAGCTGCATCTTTCCCATCTCTGCATGGGAGCTCCCCAATTATTTCAGAATCTGTAGATTTCTCTAGATCAGATTTCCCCTATAAATGGACACGATTTTCCCCCCACCCCTAGCTCGCCAGGAGCCTGCCCAGGGAACTGAGCACATCTTCACTGGAAACCCCTGCCTTAATCTCTCCCACACAAACACACCCTGCAAATACTTAAAACACAAAACCACAGAGGCTTCCGCCAAGTGTTCCCAGTCCAAACTACTCTCTCAACACTGTCCTCCTTGAAGTTTCCCTCTTTTACTGCATCTAGACTCTTACAGAGTCGGGYTGCAGAAAAACAGTGAGGCTCCCAGGAAAAATAGGAAGATTTTTGTGAGTGATTTCCAGTCTTCTTTCCTGGAGATATTTGCGAACATCATCCTAGACCCTGGGCGAGTGAGGCTCAGGTGGGGGCCTGTGCCCAGGGGGCAGATCTAGGTCTGCGTGGGGCCCAGGCTCACCGGAAGCAATAGTTGGTGTCCAGGGCCCGCTTCTTCCTCTGGCCTCCCTGGCCTGGGTTGTCGAGCCGGTGCGGGGGAATCATCATGAGAATCAGGTGAGGGTTGTGGTGATCCTTCTGCTTCTTGAGGCGCCCCAGGTCTCCACGGCCATGGTCATCCTCATTGTCCACACCTGCAGAAGGGAGGGAAGGTGACAATCTCCGGTCTAAGGAAAGCAGAGCCCTTGGAGGCTGCTTCCTCATCCCAGCCCATCTCTGCCCAGGAAGAAGGGCAGGGCTGTCTGCTGGGAAGGACATTCTAATCTAACATTCTAATGTCCCGCCATAGGACAGGGATGACTGGGGGGAGGACTGGTATCAAAAGCTTCCAACGTCAGGATGCCCCTGCAACGGGCCACGTTCCCTCCATACCAGGATCTTCCAAAGGGGACGGGATGCTTCCTGGGAGTTTTCATGGATCCACGAAGCATCCTTATTCCCAGGTGGGTACTAACACAGGTTGTCAGTTTAGATTCTGAGACTTAGAATCTTGGGGAACGAGCTTCCTCTTCCAATCTAAATTGGTTAATCCAAGGTGTCACAATTTAGGTAGGCTGAATGGAAGCCCAAGAAACAAATTGGATTGTGAACATTCACATTGTGCTTGTAGTTCTGGGAGTGTTTGCATTTTGCACTTGTAAAACTCAGGTGAGATAATAAAGAGCTTATCAAACAAGCTCTGGGAAGAAAGCCCGAGTCCATCAGAGCGTGTTTCATCTAAAAAGGAAAACACTGAAAACTGACTGGAGATCTAGTCTGCAAAGAACAGCTGTCAGCCAGGGCAGAAACTTGAGAGGTCTTATCTCCATCAGGAGGGGCCTGGATCTCAGGAAGGGGCACTTGGTCTATAAGATAAATGGGAGACCTGGATCTCCAATTCCCTTTGTGAAAAGCCTGATGAACAAGGTACGTGTCCGTGGCAGTGGGAAGGTTTCAGCCTGACCTGGCCTGGAGGGGAGACTGAAGGGCTGAGCTCTAAGGTTCTGGGATGAAGTTGACAAATCCCTGGCTTTAATTTTTTTTTTTTAAAGGACTTTGAAATGGAGGCCATGCAGGTAAAGAGGACCACTTGGGCTCAGGAGCCAAGAGAAGCTTCTCTGACCACAGGGGTCTCTCCATTACCCAAAATAGGAGTACAGGAGGAAAAGTACCTCCCTGCGTTCCAGAGACTATCAAGGCCAAGTTCCTGGTAGAAGTGACTCTCAGCTACCTCCTAACCTCTACACAAACACCAGTGGTCAAATACCCYGAGCCCTGAAGCAATCATTCAAACCTACGTGCCTCCTGGACAAGGATCAGGTGGGCCACAGTGTCTGGAAAGCTCAGGAGGAGGGCACTTCTGTTCAGAGCCACCAAAGTTAATTTCTTTAGGAAATTTGTGGAGCCTACCTGGCCCTGGGTTTCACATTCCGCATCTCCTTTAACTACCAAAGAGGCAGCCTCGAGCCCCTTTTCAATGGGCTCCGAGGAAATGAACAGTGGCCTGCGTGCCTTCTCCACTCTCCCCAGCATCCTGTGGCCTTTCAGAGGCTGATGTGTTCTCCCTAAGCTGACAGTCACCCTCATGGCTTTGGGGGCAAAGCAGAATTACTCAAGTGAAAAACCGTTGGCCATCTCTGAGAAGGAGACTGCTTCTTTTTCTTGGGGTCTGGTAGGCGTCTCCCGTTCCATGACCCTCCCCAGCCCACTACACACATTTACCTTTGAATTTGATTTCCATCACCTCATGAATGTTTTCCAGGATATCTCCATTGGGCTGAAAGGTGTGGCATGGACAATGAATGCTGATTTCCAGACCCAAGTTGGACTCTGTAAAATAAGACATGGCACTGGTGAGAAAGCACTTTGCGTGACGGGAAGGTCTGCCCACCCCCCGGCAAGGTGGGGCCAGGGCCTCTGCTCCCATAGCGCTCACAGGAACGGAGCTATAGGAAGGGTCACAGGAGACAGGAAGTCCTTCCAAAGCCCAGAGTGGAGCCCTACACACGTTTCCACATTCCAAAGACTTCTGTCACACAGTGAACCACCACACAGAGGCGTAAACAGTGGGCACCACGAAGGAGAGAGGTAATAACCATCCATTTTCAAAGGATGGCATTAAGGAAAATTGTAGCTTATCTACTCAGGGGCAAAAGGACAAGTATAGAGGAAGGAAAGAAAAAACACCACCTCAGTGGTGGGAGAGGACATACTTAAGCTAACCTGCTGAATACAGATGAAAGGAAGTGACAGGCACAGGAAGGGACTAGGGAGTAATTGAAGAGCTACAGAGCAGAGAGACAGTGATCCAGTTCCATTCAAAGGGCCTCAGGAGGAAGCCTGGGCCACAGGATTAAAAGTCGGAGTCCATGCTAGAGGCAGGTCCCCTGCAAATGGGATGCAGARTCAGTCCAAATGGAAGGTGCCAGCTTTTCAACTGGAGCTACGGGTGTAGAGGAAGTGGTAGATTCCAGAGGAGATAAGATGAAAATCCTGGTCACACCTGGCCATATTTTCCCTACAGAACAAGGCCATAATGAGGTAAAAAAATAACTTGGGTGTTTCTTCCTTGAAGTTCCTGGTTCCCATGATGGGAAAGTTGGGGCTGTGGATGGCTTACCAAGATGAACAGCTTGGGAAGATGGTTGTGAAATTAGAGAACAAACCAGAGGCAGTGACAGTGGGCCACGGCCAAAGGTCCAGATGACGGGTCTCAGAGAGAATGAGCATGAGACAGCCCAGAGGTGCCAGAGTTTGGTGACAGACTTTCTAGCACTAGGCCAACTCTGGTTCTTTCTCAGGTTGGTTGTGGGATCATCTCATCTGTTTGGGCCACCAGAATCAAGGAAGCAGGGCAGTTAGTAAGTGAGGATGATGGAGTGGAAGGAAAAAAAAGAAGTGAATGGAAAATCCGAATAGGGCACGGGCTGCAGCTCAGTGGTAGAGCATTTGCTGTGTGAGGCCCTGGGTTCAATCCTCAGTATCACAAAAGAAAAACAAAAAGTTTGAATGATCAAGTAGTTTTGTGCAGGGAAAATGAGGTATGATCTGGCATCACATCCATCTGGGTGAGTGGGACTCAATTAGGGATGCTCTGTTGAACCTGGGTAGCAGCCAGTTGTTGCCAGGTATAGGAAAGATCCTGAGGAATGGGCCCTTCTGGGTTCAGGGTTAGCATCTCAGTGAGCTGATTGATTTACTGCGCCCTGAGGCCACCCTAGTCCTGTGTGAGCATCTGGCCTTGGGGCCAACTTGGGATCTTCCTGAAGTCTTGTGTCAGCAGGGGAAACCCTGGAGTTTAGTGTGGCCTCGCATCCTTCTCATGGGCAGAATGGTACAAGCTCAGTAACTGGCCSGCTTTCTGTGGGCCTGGGCATCCTAGACCTACAGGTTAAAAAAAAAAAAAAAGAGCATTTCTCCTATAAACTCCAGAGCACAGCTAGAATTGTTCTACTCCAAGTCAGGGCTACCTCTGGGACACACTGCACCTGCTGAGTTTGAAGATCTCCGTTCCAGAAAATCAGCTTAGAGTGGTGTTATAATTTGGAGGTGAGGTGTCCACCAAAAGCTCACATGTGAGACCATGCAAGAAGGTTTGGAGCAGAAATGATTGGGCTGTTGGAGTCTTAACCTAATCAGTGAATTGATCCCTGATGGGATTAACTGAGTGGTGAGTGGAGGTGAGTGGGGTGTGGCTGGAGGATGTGGTTCATTGGGGGTGTGACCAAGGGGTATATATATATATTTTTTTTAAGAGAATTTTAATATTTATTTTTTAGTTCTCGGCGGACACAACATCTTTGTTTGTACGTGGTGCTGAGAATCGAACCCGGGCCGCACGCATGCCAGGCGAGTGCGCTACCACTTGAGCCACATCCCCAGCCCCTAGGGGTATATAGTTTGTATCAAGGGAGTGGAGTCTGTCTCTCTGCCTTCTKATCACCATATGAGCTGCTTCCCTCTGTCACACTCTTCTGCCATGATGGGCTGCCTCACCAGGAGCCCTGAGGAATGGAGCCGGCCTTCTATGGACTAAAATCGCTGAAACCGAGAGCCCTCAAATAAACTTTTCCTCCTTTAAAATTGTTTCAGTCAGATCCTTTAGTGACAGCAGCAGAATACCTGACTAAAGCAAGTGGAGAGGCAGACCCACTCAGGCAAGGAGCAGAGAGAAACTCAGCAAGAGAGGAAGTGAATACAGAGGGAAGCAAAGGAGTGTCCTCTCCCTGGAAGAGGAGGCCGGAGGAGTTAAAATTTGCTACCTATCAATCCAAGGACTTCCTGCTCGAGGTGGTCCAAGGTGGCCTGGGTGAGTTCTACAATTCTGTAAGTTATGAAGCCAATGTGCCTACAGATGTGTGGGGGACAGTCGGGGTTGGGGGACAGGTGGTCAGCACAAGACAGTGGCTTGGCTTGGCCAACAGGCTCTATCTAGGTAAAGGGCTTAGAGCAGATAACCACCACCGCCATTTTTTAACATTACACATCTATGAAACACTGCTCTAAGACTATACAAGCATTGACTCATTTTATCTCTATAATAGTCCTGATAATCCTAGGAAGAGAAATTATGTTCCTCATTGTACAGATAAGGATACCAAGGCTTAAGGAAATTCAATAGCTTGCCCAAAGTATCCAACCGTAGGTGGTAGTTCCAGGTTTCAAACACAGCCTGAGTGTTCTGATGCCCAGATCCCACACTCCTAATTGTTAGAGACAGGAAGGGAGAAAAGCAGGCAGCAGAGAGCACAGAGGAACATGCCCACACATTCACCGAGATGCCAAATGACTGTGCTTGCTGGTGTCCCACCTGTCCTGAGCCATGATGCTGAGAGTGCTCCCTGCCCAGCCTCCTAGGGGCAGCCTGGCTCCGATACTGAGAAGCTGCAGATTATATGAGTAACAACCCAGGAAATGAGGACCTGGGCCCTGCCTGCCTCCTGGATTGGGCTCCAACCAGTTCTGGGACCCAGAACACAGTCTGGACAGCTGGTAGGCTCTCAGATGCTTGCCAAATGAATCCAAAGCCACAGGTGTGACCCAATTCCTCATCAATGCATACTACCAACTGTCCAACCATTTGCAGCCTGGTTTGGGGCCATGAACTCTGAAGAGATTCATGAGCTCCAAATAAGCAAAACCCTCTGCTGATTCCCCTGTGGGAGGAGAGGGCTGGGCAGATTCTGCCTAAGTAGGAACTGAAGGTTCTAATGAAGAACTAACCTCAGAATTGGCAGCAGTGGAGTGGTGGGTGGGGGACCCATAGGTTTTATTATGAAATGATCTTTTCTGATGTCTCACAGAAGATGGAAATCATTCTCAATGCACACTTCTCATTGAATTCTGCAGCTGTGAAAATAAGAACTCCAAGTGCCCAGGGCTTCAAAGAAATCCAGGTGGCGCAGACCGAGATCAGACAAGGAGGCTAAGAGATTTAATTTCCCCAGCCCCTCCTTTGTGTAGCCAAGCAGGCTCTGGGCTCTGAGCAGAGCGCTGTCTGAGTCAGAATTCCCAACAGTGAGGACTGCAGTCAGCAGAGCACGTGGGTGCTTCCAGGCCTTGCCTTCATGCTTGGTAGGAGGGACAGGGACAGATCTCCAACCCACCATCTGCCAATTCAGCCACCAAAACAAGGCCCCTTCGACGGAGGCTTGCCAACTCAGATGCCTGCAGAGCCCAGGCAGGTCACACGAGGAAGCCAGCCATGCCAGTCGATGGTGTGGAGTAGAACCGCCAGCCTCACTGTGGGGGAACGCGAGTGTGGAGACAGAAGGATGCACACCCCACCCCCAGGGGAGGCCACAACTCATCTCTGGTGGATTGTTACAAGGAAGACTTTCAATTTTTCAAGAAAAGGCAGAAAGGAATGCTTTATATGAAATCTCCTAACTTAAAACTTAAAACAATATGGTGGCCACACAGTTTCAGACCTCTGCCTTTGAGCTTTAATCCCTAGATTCCTAAAACACCACAGGCACAGGAGGACCCACCTGTCTCAGGGACTCTGGCCATCAACATGTGGACTGTGGCTTTACAGCAGCTAAGAATAGTGGGAAACTCACCAGAAGAGGGAGAGAAGGAGCAGATGGGACTGCCACATGTGACCTTTGCCCACTGAACAGTCAAACCAAGAGTACCAGCCAAGTCAGGGGAGAGCACAGCAGGTGTCAAGAGACACGTGAGTTCTCATCTAGGCTGGATGACCTTGATCGAGTCACTTCACTTCTCTGGGCTCACTTTCCTTATTGGACACAATAAAAGCTTGTAAAACATGTTGAAAACCATGAAGTTCTCTCAAATACGTTCGATCCTTCAAACATCTCTGTGAGGCCAGGTGTGAGGGTGTAAGCCTGTAATCCCAACGGCTTGGGAGGCGAAGGCAGGAGGATCGAGAGTTCAAAGCCAGCCTCAGCAATTTAGCGAGACCCGAAGCAACTTAGTGTGACCCCGACTCAAAATAAAACAAAAGGGCTGAGGATGTGGCTCAATGATTAACCACCCCTGGATTCAATCCCTGGTATCAAAAAACGAACATCTCTGTGAGGCATGCAAGGAAGGAGACGGTGAGTGGGTAAGAGATTTGGGACACGTGAGGTTTGATATACCTGTTGGATGGTGCTGGATGATGTGTCCCCAACCAACATTTCCACGGAGGGTTTTGACTCCCAGGCCTTTCAGACTTAATTGGCCAAAACACAACTCGCCCCCAAACCTGCTCTTCTTCCAATCCAATTCCTATTCCAATCCGTGATAGCTCAGTCCAAAACTCTAGACGTCAAATGCAACTGCTCCTGCGACCTCATAGCCTGCCCCATTGGCTCTATCTTCAAAATATGGAACAAATTCATACAATTTCCACTCCTCCTGCCCCAATCTAGGTCCCTGTTGTCCTCATGTGAGTTGCTGCAATGTCCCTAACTGGTTTTCCTGCTTCTTCCCTTGACCTCATGAAAACCAGAAGGATCTTTAAAAGGGTGAGTAAATCACCTCACCCATATCTCCAGCTCTGCTTCTAGCATTCCCGTGGTGTCTCATCACACTTGGAATAAGTCCTAAAGCTTACCATGGCGCGACAGGTCCTAAATCACAGGGCCCTAGCTCACTGTGCTCTGGGACACCAGTCTGTCACTGCTGCTGGAACAAATCAAGCTGGTTTCCTCCTAAGGGCTGGGGCTTCCCTGTCTCCTTTACTTGACACTTCCTTGATCCTGACCCTGTGACCCCTCAGATCTCACTGTAGGAACTCCTTCTTCACTGGGACCTTCCCTGAGCAGCCGCTGTAGGACCCACTGGGCCATGATCACATGGCACTCTGTCTGAAGCTCTTACTCATCCATAGGCTTGCTTATTGATGACATRTCTCTCCCACCAGAATGAAAGCCCCCTAAGATCTGGGACCCACCTGTCTTGTTCCCTGAGGAACCCCCAGGACYTGCCATAGAGGTACAGTAGATAATCGGTGGCTAGGCAGAGAATCTGTGCAAATCTAGGCTTTGAGCCCAGATCTGTGGCTCCCCTAGTTCTCTGTCTTCTTCCCTCTTGTGACAGATGAAGGGAACAGAGGTTATTCCTGAGATGCTCATCCTAAGRTTCCACCCACCTCTTCGCAACAGCCACTCGCGCACAGTGTCGGTGACATCAAAAGACAGCCACTCCGCAGTGCCCCTGGTGGGCAGGTTTTTGCCTCCGATGTAGCGTTGTTTGGCGATGTGCTCATCTGGTCGAAGTATCTACAGGGCAGAGAACGGAGTCAGTACCTGAGGCCAGGACACAGTGCCATAGGAGAGGTCACAAGACAGGTGAGAAAGCCAAAGTTTCAGAGTGCCATGTCCTTGGAGCACCTTAGGGAGTTCTGTCCTCTTAATGACAGACAGACATGGAAATTAAGGGTCAGAGGAGCCAGGATTCAGACCCAGGCCTGCTGAACTCTGAGCCCTGGTGGAAGCAGAACACGGTAGAGGCACTGACTCTGGTCGGTGGTTMTGTCCTGGGAGGGTACCTGGAAGAGTTCGATCCTCTGCTCAGTGCGCTTGGAGCTGGGATTAGGCACCCGCAAGACCCGGAATTCTGCCCGGAAAAGATTGGTTCCATTTTTCTCCACTGAGGACACGTTGAAGCGGAAAACCTTGGAGGTAATTCCTTTGGGGCAGACGGCCAACTCGTCTAGGGGATAAAGCAACGGGGAGAAGCACAGCATGAGTGACACCTGTGGGAACAGTGCACTGCCAGCAGATGTGGCAAGTGGCCACAGTCCCACCTGTGACCTCCACAGTCCCACCTGAGACCTGAAAGTGGAGATAGGAGGAAGAGTCTTGATGACCCTCGAGTCACACAGTCCTGAGAGAGGAGCAGGGAGACCTCAGAGACCCTGGACCTGGCACCAAGTCTGGATGGCAAAACACAACCGCCCCTCCCCCCACTGCCTGGATATCTGCATCTGCTAAGCTCTGAGCCAGACTTGCCTGCTCTTTTAGAAAATGCAGATTCTCAAAAGATAGCAGCCCCCCCCCCAGTGGCTTAGCTCATGGACTCATTTGTGAGTTTGGGGCATTCATTCACTTCCTGAACACTGGAGAGCAATGYGACATGCCAAACCCTGTAGATGCTAACACRGGAAAGCAAAGAACAAATGGATGCAGCCACTACCCCCCAGGGAATTAATATCCAAGGGAGATCACTGACACATAAACCCAAATTACAGGACCAGAGAGAAGGGGCCTTTGGAAATGCCAAGGTGAGGCTGCAGGGGATGGGAGGAGGAAGAGAGCAGGGGACACTTTGGGGAAGAAATGACAGGAATCTGAGCCCTGCAGGAACAGCAGAGCATAAGGATGGGAAGGAAAGAGACCTCACATGGAGGGAGGGACGCTGGAGCAGAAGCAGGAAGCAAAGCAAACCCAGGAGAGGAGGAGGGACCCAAAGCATCCAGGCTGCAGCTGGTAAGAGGGTCAAGACAGCAGAGTGCGTGCTGCCTGTAGGAAGACCCACGTGTCACACCTAGAGGCTGGGTTGTTTCCCAATAATAGTAGGGAGAAGTGGCAGAGTTAATGCTGAATAACACAACAACAGAATCAGCACCATGGTCTCYACCTAATGAAGCAGGGTCTGTATGGCAAAGAGACCATCTTGGTCCTGGCAGAAACACAGGTTTCTTTGAACAGGGGTCAGCTGCCATTGGCTCCTTTCTCTTTAAGGGTCTCTGACGGCACGTGCCATGCCAGCCTCTGTCACCCTGCTGACTTCTTCACCCCTATCCACCAGACAGAAGGCAGCAGATGCTCTCTCCCACCCTTCAGAGCCAGATCTTTATCAGAGCTGACCCAGACACAGAGAGAAAGCCCCGTCTCTCCTCTACTGCAGCGCACTTGACAACCTCAGGATCCGAGCAGCATCGACACCCACAGAAAAAGTTCACAACTGGTAACAATGGCCAGAACTTGACATTCAAGCTCCTGGACCCAGATTCCACACATAATGGACATGGCTGGAATGAGCTCATAATCACCCCGAGGGGTGGTTTAGGAAGTCACGGACAAGGCGGGACAGATCAGAGTCTGGAAACAAGCAAATGTGCTACTGATCTTTAGGAAAGGATGAGTGAGTGTTTCTGGAAATTGCCATCTGGTGGGCCTGACACCGGTTCTTAGAAAATGAACGGAACAGATGTGAGGAGAACAAATGTGTGAATGCCAGCTAATGAATCCCTGATTAATAAGTGGCCTTGAAAGAACAAATACTGCCAACTATTCCCTAAACCATCTCAGCAAGAACCAAAGACGGGAATCTGGGTTAGCAATCTTTTTTTTTCTTTTGGTGCTAGAGATGGAACCTAGGGCCTCACACTTGCTGAGCACACACTCTACCACTGAGTTGCACCTCCAGCCCCAGGGAGGGCAATTTAATGTTTAAGTCCACAGGTTTATGACTCGGGACATGGATAAGCTACTGGGTCTGCTGACCCTCTCAAGGACTGACAGAGTTGGGTCTTGAAGGAGCTGTCGTCAGTCTGGCTTCAGTTTTAACAGCAGCTCCAGCACTGTCTGCAAGAGAGAATAAAGGGCAAGTCAGGGCACTGCTCACCTTGCTCTCAAGACGAGAAGGGAGTGGAAATAGCACCTGCCAGGGAGGAGAGTCAGAGCAGGGTCACACAGTGGGAAGTCAGAAGATGAGGAAGGGGAAGGGGGCGCGGCATTAAGAGAGTTCTCAGGACACCCTAGTGACCACCCCTCCTTGATTTCTTCCTGCCCATCAATCATACATCTGTACCCAAGATGACTTTTCTTTCTGAGAATGTGAAGGAGGTTTCAAGAGGTAGGAAGGGTCTTTTTCTATCACTGTTTCCAACAGGAGTAGAAAGGACATTAGAAATCATCCTGTGTGACCCTCTTCAGATGAAGAAATGAATATCCAGAACAGTCTTGGTCAGAGTCACACATGGATGAACTGACATGAGTGAACTGGCACTAGTAAGCAAAGCTCAGACACAATCATTGGTGACTAAAACACAGGATTACCTGGGAGAGAAAAGAAAAATGTAAGTGTGGTCTTGACAAACACATCTGCCGGATAAKGTTTTAAACAATTTGTGGAATGCATGAGTATAAGGAAATAAGCAAAATAAATAAGTGTAAATAACACCACCATACATTTTATAGAGCTCTCATGAACTCATACGACCCTGTAACAACCCTTGAGAATAAAGAGARGATATAAAATTTCTCATTCTAGAAATGAGAAAAGTGAACATCAGAAAAGTTAAACGACTCCCAATGTCACTCCATTAGCAGGCGGCAGAGGTGGGACTGGAACCCAGGTCTTCTGTCCACTCCCCAGTTACTGAAGCAGAGACTCTGGAACTTAGAGGGAACCTGGTAGATCATCCAGTGAAAAGCTAATATCATCAACAAAATGTGGCAGAATTCCTTGAAATGGGCCTAGAGTACCATCCTGTGCCCCAGATGAGAGCCAATGGCCRGTCCATTTTGTGATTCTTAAGCCATACTTTCCATGGAACATGAGCATTCTGAAGAGCTGGACTAGGGGAGTCTATGTTTACAAAYTAAGTTATGACCAACTTTTTCCATTGCACCAAGAAAAATAGATATGCATGGACGCCACTTTCTCTGTTTTGCTTTGGGGGGGGGCAAGCAAAGAATAAGCAAGCAAAAAACATCAGGTGGGGTATCCACTTTTACTTAACTGCCTTTAAAAATGTTTACAGACACCTGAGCGTCTAGGTGTGCCTCTGCCTGTGTACATCACTCCTGCTGGTCCAGTGAAGGCCCGGGTATGTCCACCCGGGTATGTCGGAGTGGCCGTGCTTTTCCTCTGTCTCTGCAGYAGAACCACCTGGAGAGCTTTAAAACCAGGTGGAGTCTGGGCTCGCTGCCCAGCAGTTCTGTCTATACAGGGTGAATCCACAGCATTTTAAAAAATGTTCTCCAGATGATTGWAAATGTGTAGCCAGGATGGAGAACCACAGTTTATAGTTTTCTGCTAAGGGTGCCATGGCTTCAGATGTTCTGGAAGTTTGAGAAACCACTGGATTAATGGTTTTGAAGCTCTAAATGGATTAACCTTTAAATGAATTAGAAGTGTTGTTTAGCCAATGTACCATGTTTAAATTTTTTGAATTAGAAGCCTGTAAACATTGTAAGCCCGTGTTAAAAGTTGAGAGATTTCACAGAAAGATCCAGATTTTCTGCTCTTCTGGAAAGTGGTAAGATGGAGTCAAGCTGGACCCACATTCCTGAGTGTAAAAATCAGCAGGAGCTGAGCAGTGGCTGCTTCTTTCAACAGTACACTGGGGAGCCCAGGTCCCTCCCTCCCCTGGCCACAGCTACCTTATCCACATCCCTGAGGCTAAGTGTCCTGTGCATTTTGTCAYGGTGCCTAGATTACAGTTTTTCTTCCAGATTGTGTGCATTACCTGCCTCTCGGTAGGAACTTACATTTGCACCATCTCCAAAGAAAAGACTCTGCCTTCAGCTCAATGAAAATACTGATTCCTCAGGATCCATATCCCCCAGAGATTGATTCTGTAAGAGTGAGGTGGGACCTGGGAGTCCACCTTCACCCGCCTCGGGGCCACCCTTGAATAACCATGCACAGAGCATGGGCACTTAGGGCCCATGAGTTCTTTCAACATGAAATGCCTTCTAATTTCCAAAAGATAGTTTCCAAAATCTATAGTTAGCAGCCAGAAAAGAAAGGCTAAAATACCGCATTTTCTCTTTGCTCAGGAATTTTGGGTTTGCTGGCTGTCTTCACACTGCCCTTGGCTTGGAACAAGAGTTTCCCCCTGGACACAGARAATTCTAAGCTAGAAGATAAAACCTATGCTGATGATATCTTGTAAGAAGGRCCACAAAGGAACTGGGAAGGCTGCATCCTCCCCTCCCCCACCCACCCAAGGTGGATCAGAAGAAGCCCCTGCTCACTTTCCTTAGCAAAATCCTGAAGAATTAGAAAAGGATTATGGAGCCTTGCCCATACATCCCAGCAGAGACTCAGGCAAATCACCCAGATGTAATTATAAAATTCTATCAGGTGAAAGGGAGTTTAGAAATCAACTGCAGCATTACAGATGGGGAAACTGAGGCTTAGAGAAACAACTCTCAMGTGGCTTGAGAATTAATCTGCTTGAGACTCTTCATTAAGTAAAGGAAACCGTTTTATTGCATTTGGGAGAACATTTGTAACAGTCTGAGTCTCCTGGAAAATCCAGTTGTCTTTGTGCAATCTGCCAGTTACTAAGGCAATATCTCCTGTCCCCTTCTGCTTGGGCTAATGTGGGATTCGTTTGSGTTATAAATCAAAGTTTCACTGGGGCCTAAAGGTTAAAGGTGGACATAAAATGTATCTTTCAYACGTACATTTGGGCTCAACAGCACGTGTTGTGTGTGCAGCACGTCTAGGTTAGAGGCCCTGCTCTTTGTGCATAGATGGCTTAGCTGGGCCATGTCTCTGTCTCCTCATCTACAAAGTAGGAGATTAGGGGATCTGGGACAGGGCAGAGGCAGAGGACCAGCCCTCCTCTCCACTCTTACCTTGGTGCCCCTTCTCTGTACCACTGAAAAGTATTCTTTCTTTCACTTYCCTCTCTGGAAACCCCTCTCCCCTTGCCCCAGATCCAATTGTCACTACCCTCCAAGTGCCCACCCACTACATAAGGGGGTGGCTGGGAGTGACAAAACATGGAAGAGAATGCCATCTTATTACCCTGTCCCCCAGTAGAAGCTCTGGCATGGGGGCCCTGCCAGTGCCATCCCACAGACCCAGAGCCACCCCCGTCTGCCCTCCAGAGTTAAGAACAGCCTTTCCCCACCCCCTGCACCTTTGATGATGCCTCCCTCTGGCTCGGCATCTGGCGGGCATTTGCATCTGCCCATTGCCTTCTTCATAATTAGTGGGCCTGTGCATCCAGGGCAGGCTCAACACCTGATCAGCTGCAAAGCTGGCCCCAGGCCTGCATCTGCTCAGCCTCTGGGTCACCTCCCACAGCTGCAGAGAGTCTGGGGCCTGTTTCCTGTTTGCACCTGCAAGCCTYCATGGCCTGCCTATGTCCCACTGGGCACTGGCCCTTCCTCAGCACCCCAACAGCACCCTGCTCACTGTGCCGAGGCAGCCCAAGCTTCTGCTCTGCTGCCCGCGGCCACCCCCATCTGCAGCAGTGGTAAAGGTTGGTGCTGCAGCCTGGAAGCTGCCCAGCACTTGTAGGGCCCTGTCCTGGCTTTTCCTAAGGCTCTGTGATGCTTGCACAATGCATGCTGTTAAGTACCAATGTACATGTAAAATACACATTTTAAGGACACCTTTGTGCCCTTGAATCTCGGCACAAAATTGATGTACATGCACACCTGTGTAGCCTTGCAACCATCTGGCCCACTATTGGTCCAGGCTGGGTGGGCCCTTATGACTCAGAATCCTTTCTCCCTTGGACTCTTCCTCYCGACCAGGCCCATGAAGGTGTGAGTCCTTCCACTTGTCCTGGATTCTCTCAGACTTTTCCTGCTGGCCTCAGATTTCCACGCTCCTCTGATGTTCGTGGCCACCAGGACCTGCCTTGTGTGACCAGGGAGCAGCCATCCAGCTGCTGGGAGCCTTTGAGACTGCAGGCCCCTGGCAGACCYACAGCCAGCCCCACCCAGAGGACCCTGGGCAGGGAGCTCTGGTTCGGCCTCAGCCTCAGCCTCCACCCCCCAATCACAGCCACATCCTAAGGAAGGGCGCTTCAGGCAGCCAGAGGAAACTGCAGCGGGAACCCCTCGCCAGTAACCACAGGCTCCTCCGCCTGCTGTGGGCCAGCTGGGGATGGGGCCTTCTGCACCTTCATTCAGAGCCGGTCCACCCATGGCACCCTCTCCAGTTCCTTCTCTCCAGACAGGTTCCTTTCCACCCCTGCTATTCACCCCATGACGGCCCTCCCGGGAGGTYTCCATACCATCCTCCCATCCCCAATCTGGGGACTGCCCATTTCCCAGGTGGGCCAGGGCCCAGGTAGCCAGGGCAGCGAGGACACCTGCTGGTAGGAAAAGCAAACAGAGCTGCTCCCCGAGTCTGGCCGAGAGTGGCTCACATTCCTCTTTCCTGGGCTGTCAGTTTCTCAACATCTGCCAAATTTCTTTCTTGTATTGAGGTTTTTTAAATCCCCGTTCAGTAAACACACATGACTTCCACACGTGTACAAACACACAGGCGTCTCACCCAGAAGCTTCCCAGCTCCTCCGTACAGACAGGAGCCTCTGGGAAGACACACTCCCAGACACACGGCCCTATAGTCACCCCCCAAGCTCCCCCGTGACACGCAGACCCAGAGGCCCACCAGCCCTCCTCCACACACCCAGAGCCATGCCCCTGCTGTCCCGTATCCACCGGCCCAGAAGGCCTGCTCTCCACACATGAATCTGCCCACTGTACAGCAGGAGAGTCTGCATTGCCCTGAAGTCCAAGTTCATGTGAACATATGTGCAAAGCCCCCTCCCAGTTCACATGGGTCACATGTGTGAGGGAGACCAAAGGCCCAGGCAATAAGAAGCTGTCTCTTGCCTGGCTTTCCACAAGCTTGACAGACATTCATTTGGAGCAGGTACTCTGCTTCCCAAGAGCTGGAAAAACTGAAATGGAGACGTGTCACAATGAGCTGTGAAAAGCAGGGAGAAGGCTGAGGTGCTCAGGCTCTTGAAATCATAARGGCTCTGGCTGGATACAGCGAGCCRGCCTGCCCCTCAATGGCACCCATATGCTTACCATTACCCATATGGTCACATGCGTGAGAACACATATGTTTCCCTGGGCGGCACGATGTAATTCCAAATTAAAATCACATCATAAGGATGTGATGTGAGTTTAGCAAACCGCTTAGCTCCAGAGCTCCTGACCTCCCAGAAGGGTTCGGCTCTTACCAGAATGGCTGTTCCCTACCCACCTTCCCAGCCCCACCTGCACATCACACCTCCTAAGGCTGAGGCTGGTGAACCCCAGGGCATCCTGCTGTGTGACCACTGCAAGGCCCCCTCCGTGGGGCTCCCTACTGAAGTTCATCCCCTCCACAGCAGACACCCAGCAAGCATTTGGACTTACTGTGCTCCGCCAGCCCCTGGATCATGTCGAATTTATGGATCTCTTTAGCATAGTATTCCGACTCGGTGTTTTCCTGAGTACAGCCTTCCTCCCTCTCCCCCTGCATCTCCTCCAGCAGCTCCCGGGTGCTGTTGTAAAGGGCCAGGACCTGGTAGGGGACGTGGGTCATCACCGATGGTTCAGGGGGGCTGGTGAGCCTGAGCTTGCTCAAGATCTGTCCCCTAATGGCTTCCACCCTCTTCTTCTTGATGTGGCCAAAGTCCAAGGTGGTGCAAGTGGACAGAGAGAGGCTGACCGTGGCAAAGTTCAGCAGGGCCAGGACCACCAGAGCCCTTTGCAAGTGCATCTTCATGTGCGAGCTGAGGCCAGGGGGGCGGCGAGGCCTGGCAAGGAGGAGACCCCAGCAGACGTGCAGAAAGAGGGAGGAAAACCAGGCGGCTTCCCCAGATCCCAAAGACTGAGGCTTGGCAAGAGGGTGCATGAACTCACTGCACTGCGAGAGCTTCAGGACTTCCAGGAAGCGCTGGCAACCCTGAGGACGAAGAAGCGGACTGTGGGCCTTGTAGCGCTGCGATTCTTGTCCATGTGTCTAAACAGGTTTTGCTGGGCTCTGACTCCCAGCAGGCCAGGTGGAGGGCAAGCAGAGGGCTGGGAGGGGTGGCAAGGCAGCTGGGAGTGGGAAGGGAGCTGGAGTTTTTCCTTAGGTAAAAATAAATAGAGCGGATATCTGATATTGCCAAACGCTGCTTGGCGATGGGGAGAAAGTGGGTATTTTAAAGAAGGCACAGAAGGACCATGGCTGGGCCCYCAAATCAAAATCCTCACCTTGCCCTGAGGGAGAACAAGAAAAGAGAATGGAAAAGAAAATAAAAAATATATATTTTAAAAAATACCCAAAAGTCAGATCAGCAGTGAGTAGGTGGGAAGAGGCAGGGCGCACAGTTGCTGGCCCGGCTAAAGGTGGGGGAGGACAGGACACACTTGTCTCTCGGGCACTCCATTCATGCTTTCCCTTTTGTTTACACTTCCTCAGGGGCTTTCTAAATGACTTTGTTCACGCTGCCTCTTGTCTTCATTGGCTGGCATGTGGGATATGTGCCACTGGAGGGCAGGACGGACAGACCTCTGGAGAACAGCCCCAGTAATCCACTTGGACGCCCACGGTCACCAGCACCTCAGTTTGTCTTCTCCCTCGGCCATGGCTTCTGTCCCCTGCTTCTCTTTAAAAAAATCAAAAGGAAAAGGAAAAGAAAATAGAAGACAGTTCACTGCAGCTGGCTCCGGAAAGCGGTCATTCCTTGCTTTGCACGCTCCTTCCCTTACCACTGGCCTCTCTCTCGCTCATTCCCTTGGACTTGACTCTCTGCTTCCTTCCCTTTCTCTCTCTCCTTCTCTCTCTTCTTCTTCTTCTCTCTCTCTCTCCCTCTCGCTCCTCTCCCTCTCTCTCTCACACACACATGCACACACACTGCTTTCTCTATTTCTCTCTGCTGAAATTTTATACCTCCCTCCCATGACGTCTCGGGGCTGGGGTGGGGGAGGGAGGGAGGGACCAGCGCACGCAGCCTCTTCTGCTGCACGATTTTAATGTTTTAAACAGGCACAGGAAAAGCCGAGCCCATTTGAAAAATACTTTGCGAGTCCTCTCTTCGACGTGGTAACTGAACTTTTTTTCCCCTCTTGGAGTCACTCCTGCAACACGTTGGCTGTTTTTCTGGAAAGTTACTCCGCCGAGCCCCCTCCCTCTCTCCCCCAGCCCCTGCGCGCTCTGGCCAGCTGTCAGTCGCTGCTCTCCTCCGCCCGTCTCTCTCCCTCGCGGTCCCCCGTGCCCGGCTGCCCCTGGGCTGGTGGACACCCGGCAGGGGCCGCAGGGGGTGCGGRACCGGGCAGGGCGGCCGTGCCACCCTCGGTCGGGGTGATGCTCGACCTGCGAGCGGGGCTGGAGGGGGGCCTGGGCTCTGCGGCGATCCTGGCCGAGATTCCTCATTGACAAGCCTGGAGTCGCGGCCGGCTGAAGCTTGGAGACTCTCCAGGGGCATGGAAAAATGGTGGCGTTTTCCGGAAGACCGAGGGTGCCCTCTGGCGAGGCCTGGCCGCCAGTGAAGGAGGCTCGGCGGGCCCGGAACCGGCCAGGCGGGAGGGCCGGGGCGGGGGCGGGAGAAGGGGCCGCCGGAGAGGGCGAGAAAAACAAGCCTGGGCGCCCTGGGGATCGCCTCCCTCTCGGCCCCACGTGCGTACAAGTGCACCTCTCCYTGCCGGAGCCACGGCTCCCGAGCAGCTCCGCGCCGCAATGTCATCCAGATGTTCGCAGCCTCCCTCCCCGCCGAGGGTTCCGCAGGGAGCTGCGCCAGCGAACGCGAAGTCAGCAATTGGCCCGAGCCCATTTCCCAGATGGGTGAGGGGAAGCTTGCGCTCCGCTTTCGTGGCTCTTTTCAGCCTGGAGCTTCTGGTTCTGTTCCCACGAGTAGCTTAGGGAGTGCAAGACACATCCTTTCCCTCCCCAACCCAGGACTTSTGATCACTTTCCTGAGAATGAGTGCTGTCCCTCTCCCACCTCTCCCTCCAGCCTTCTTGGACCCTTCCTGAGAAGTCTGGTTCCTAGATCACTAATTCAAGGGATGTTAATGCATCCCCAGGACAGTGGCGGATCGTTTAATAGTTGAGGAAATTGAGGCACAGGGAGATTTTTTTTTTTTTAAGGTCACTCTGCTTGTGAGTAGTGGAGGTAATATTTAATGGATAGACATGATTTTCATTTGCATTACCAATAGGGAAAGCTAGGTGCAGACGCCTTAAAGATTAGCTAACTAGGGTCATATAGCTCTTAGGTGTCAACTCTAGGATTTAGATTCATTGTTAGAATCTGGGAACCTAATCTTTCCACTGCACTGCCTCTGGAATTTGAAAAAATAGTTCTGATGTTTACAATAAGCCAGGCACTGTCCTGTGACTATGTCAATGAGAAAAAAAAAAAAATTCTTGCTCTCAGGAAGCTTATATTTTAGAGGYAGGAGTGGGGCAGTGGGGAGACCACAAGCTAAATCAATATGTAAATTATGTACTCAAATAAAAGATAAGTGCCACACCGAAAAAATAAAGCAAGGAAGATAAGGAGTACCTAAGTTGGGGAATGTTGCAATTTAAAATAGGGTGATCAGGGAAGGCCTTACTAGGCCTTTGAGCTAATTCTTACAGATAGAAGAGAAAATTATTGAAGTTATACCTTAATGGGGTATTGAGATTCCATCACTACCAAGTTGGTCTCTAGAGATAGGGCCCTGGCACCTGTTTTTCTAAGCACCCCTCTCATTAGATTCAGTTGTTCATCAAGTTTTGAAATGTCTTATAATASGGCTTCTCTCTACTCAGGGTGAGTGCTGTTCCTCTTTTATTTCCAGGGAGTTGGGGAGTTGGGCATGAAGTTCTATAGACTGACTAGAAGGTAGTGGAGGGATAGCTGTGAGATGACAAGAAATGGAMAGATCCAAAGATGAACCTCTTCTTCCTCATATGGTGCCAAGAAAGAAGGGAACAAGTGATTCATTGGCAGATATCTCACGCTGTCTTAGATTTTTGGCACCTTATGTTGCTTCAGATTAAAATCTTACAGAATATCCTCGCCAAGAAGCAGAGTAAGTAAAGGATCTTAGAAGCCCTCTCATTACAAGTGAGGAAACTGAGGTCCAGGAGGGCTCTGCCCTGGCTGCATAGTTATTAGCAGAGCTTGGATGAGAACTTGACTCTTCTGACGTCCTTGCCAGTGTTCTTGCCATTACTAGGCATGCTAACTCATAATTCTACCCAGTAATCATGTGAAATGAATGCGTGAATCTATTAATTTGCTGGATATTTAAGAAATGTTCACAATTCAGTTTTAAGGATGCTACTCCCATTTCCAAGTCCTCCTTTTTTAAGGACAAAGCCATCCAGGCCTTACTCCCATACTGGGGATATTGCTTGTTTTTAGAGCCACGAGCCCATCTTCAGTGAATCTCAGGGAACACTGCCAGGGRCCTGGCCAGTAGTGTTGATTTGGGGATCTTTTATGAAGTGTGAGTCAGTGAAGACTCAACTTGACTGTTGGCCTAGTACAATGGCTGGCACCCACTAGTACATGCTGGAGAAAAATACTCCTACTGTAATCTGTCTCAGCTGYTCAGCACTCAGGTTATTTTCCTCAAGTTACTTCTTTGTGCCTYGGTGTCCTTCATTGTTGAATAGAAATATTACTGCTACTTGCTTTGTGGGGTTGTTGAAATTAAATGAGATCACCCAGGTTCTTGATATTTTGGTTCAGCCTCTCCATAAACTTCTTGAAGACAGATATTATATATATTGCATTTTCTGTAATTCATTATAAATCATTTATTGCACTTGATTTCATCTGACAACTAGAAACAATACAATTTATTTTGCTTCCCACAAATGGAAGCCACTGGGATTACAGGTTGTTATGCCCCTCACTTGAGCTAATAACTCTGAAGGCCCTCTGTATCTGGAAGGGATACAAATGGAAGGGATCAGAATAGTAATTACTACTTTTAACAGTAATGCTTTGCACTTACCAATGTATTTAAACAGAGTTACAAATGTAGACAGTTACTAACCACAACCCTTTTTCATTGTCTCACAGGAGCAGTCTTAGCGGAGCTTTCTTCTGTAAATCAGGCAAGGTAGGCTTAAGAAACTTTAAATTGGAGGGTGGCACGAAGAATCCAGGAACAACGCGGCGGTCCCTTTAAATATTGGAAGGGCGGAGTCGTCGTCAGGGACGCGAATGAGACGCTTGGTTTCCAGGAAGTGACGTCATAKGACCGCGGAGATGGACGAGGAGCTGGACCTGGGCGAGGAGCGGCGCCGCAGCTCGGCCTTCTCCGTGAGGACCGAGGCGGGGGGCTTGGACTAGAATTCGGCGGGTGGGGAAAAACAGCCCCGCTGGACCGTGGCCGCTGAGGCGCTGAGGCCCTGCCCGGCGCGGGCGGGACGAGTCGAGCCGCACGGGGTTGCGGCCGGGAGGAGGCGTCCAGTTCCGCCCCGCCCCCGGGGGTTGCTTTCTTTAAAATCCCCCAAATAGAAAACAGGTCCTGTCCCCGCTGGCCTCTAGGACCACGCAAAATCTCTGCGCCTTGAGCCCCAAGTGCGAACTCACCCGGACCAGACAGATCTGAGGGTGACAGGAGGGTCCCGGCCAGAGTCGCACTTATACCCATGCTCAGGTTTTCCTTTGGAACTTCTCACCCCAGAAGTTCTTGTAAAAGCCGCCCCGTTTTATGCACGCAAGGGAGGAAGCCAGGGCCTTCTGTAACCCCCCTGGGGAGGCGGGCGCTACCTCACTTTTCCTGTGGGGAATCAAGACTTTATAACGTACGGGATGGTGGTGAGGGTTGCTCGGGCCCTGAAGTCAGATGGGGTATAAAGCTCTTGGTAGGTGTTTTAAAAATTAGTTAATTTCTCTGAACCTCGATAGTAAGCACTTGACATTGCAGGGCTTGGCATGTGCTAAGTTATCAGAAGAGATTAGCGGCAGTTGCCTGAAGCTGTGATTTACCCATCAAAACCTAAATTTAGTGTTTTTCTTACTCCATCACAACCCCCAGCATGCTTTTAAAATTAGTCAAGATTAAAAAGATATCACTGGATGTCCTCCACAGGGCCATAGAGGAGCACTTTTCTGAGGGAGGCAAATTGGTCTGGAGTGAAGCAACCTGCTTGACTAAGTAGAATGAATATTAGGTCACCAGGCCTTTTTGATACATGAACTCTTTATGAGGGAGGGGGTACCAGGGATTGAATTCTGGGGCACTCAACCACTGAGCCACATCCCCAGTCCTATTTTGTATTTTTATTGAGAGACAGGGTCTCACTGAGTTGCTTGGCACCTCTCCATTGCTGAGGCTGGCTTTGAACTCGCCATCCTCCTGCCTCAGCCTTCTGAGCCACTGGGATTACAGGCATGCACCACTGTGCCTGCCTTGAAATATGAACTTGTTTAATACGTGGATGTGAATGTGGTTATTTCTTCATTCTTTCCATGAATGTCCGAGCCCTACCTACCGTATCTCAGGTATTGTCCTAGATCACAGCAGTGACTAAAACATTGTGGAACTCATGTCTTTGTGTGGGAAGATGGAACCCAGACTATATATATAAACAGGTTATAAAGTGGTGTTCTATCCTATGGATTTATACAGCATCTTTAAAAAGTTCAAAATCTTAAAAATATTTTACAGTTATTAGAGAGACTATCTGTAAATAGCATTTAGAGACAAGATCATTGAATTTTTGTTTTAACACAGTCCCTGTATTTATGTAGTATGCAGTATTCAGATACTTGACACTATGACAAATGGAAGAGGGAAACCATGTCTGAAGGGATGGAATTGTCTGCCTTGAGAATAAAGTGAGCCTGCTTACTATCAGAAAAAAAATGTTTCCATCCTCCCTGAAACCTAAACCATTGACATTACAATTTGAAGCATGAACCCTGAACAAGAATTCTGATCCAGCAACTTGAAACTTGTTTTCTTCATTCTTAGAACATTCTCAAACAAATCTCAGCTTGGCACAGGGAAAAGACCCAGGATTTGAAGTCAGAAGACTTTGTTCTTGGACTTATGTCTGCCACTTAATCACCTTCCTGGGCCTCAGTTTCCTCATTTATAAAATGGCATCTGTCCTAGCCCCTGCCCATGTTATTGTGAGAATCAAGCAAAGCCACATTAAATGAGATCTCCAAGGGCCTATATTAATAGTTTTTTAAAAATAAACAACCAAAATTATATGTATTTCAACACTCACTAGTGTGTCTCCAAGTCTTTTTGTGTATTGGGAAGTGTTTGAGACCAGAACCTCCACCCGAGGTGGGTCTTGGGAAACACCTGCAAATGGTGCATTTGATGACTAAGAATTTTGAAGTGCTCTAATTTTCAAAGTTGATGTCTCGACATTCTTTCAGTAGACTTCCCTTACTGTCTGTAAATGCAAATCCATTTAGTGTATATTTCAAAGCAAATGTTTTCTATATTTCTCTGGCGTCAGTTGCCATGGAATTTAGAATTTTTTTCCAGAAGCCTATTTATTAACTATTTTCAGCTGTGATATTAGGCCTTCAAAAAATTCTGCTTAGGAACATGGAAGCCATGGCCACCCCCTCTATGACATTAAGTCATGTGACGTGGGGTCTCTGCCCAGTCTACAGGCATTTCTAACTACATTTCTTTGAATAGAAAAGTGATTTTGCTTTTGCAGTCCTCATGGCTATTAAAAGAAAACCTCATGAGAGTAACCTGTGAATGTCCTGTTCCCCTATCAAGTAGAATGGATCTCAGCTGCTTTGCTTTAAGGTCAAATATTGTTCTCCACCATAACATCCTAAATCCAGTCCTTGCTTACCTCCCCAGAATTGTCATCCTCGTAGTGGTTCAAATGACATTTGGCCAGCAGTGCCCTTCATCTCTCATTACAGGGGGCCAAGATGGGTCGCCGAGCTCAAAAGGAGCCAGCTCAGGCTGAGAATCACTTCAGTGACAGGAATGCCTCGGTGACTCTGACCGGAGAGGTAAGTGCCAAAAGAGAGAGAGAGAGAGAGAGAGAGAGAAATGTGAAGAAATGCAAGTTATGACTTAGTGATTCCTTAATGAGCAAGGATTCCGTATTCCACATTTCTTCTTCAGGGCCAGCCCCTCCTTCAATCTGGATATGGGAATTCCCATCCTTGACATTGGTCCCATTAGTAGCAAATGAAAAGGGAACAGTTTTCTTTAAGGCCAGACTGGTTTCTGTACATTTCTTCATAGTCTTAGTATAGAATTTTTTATGTTAGCTGAAACAAGGGACTGTGAAGTTTCAAAATGCAATAGAAATATGGGTTTTTATTTCTCCTGAATGAACGCTAGTGAGGCATGCTGGTGACGAAAGGGTGATGACACAACTGGACATTACTCTCAGCGGTGACCTATACTTTGTGCAATTTTCAGGCAGGAAGTGGATCATTTAATGGACTTAGTTTCCCGGAAAATTTTCTGAGTGGCCTGGGATTATGGGAAATTACCCAGCTTCTTCATGGAGGGTGGGTCACCCTGAGGAGTGGTTTTTATGACCAGGCACTATTTTGGGCAGTTGGCTCACAGTCCTTTTTTATCTTCCTCTGTTTGGCTTTCAAGAGTCAGCCCAGGGCCCTCCATTCTGTTAGCTGTCCCCTAAATTCTGCAAGTTAGGGCTCCTTCCTTTTAGTTCCATAGTACCTCCTCTGGGGAAGGTCACATTCTATGTTAATTATCTTTTTATGTGTCTGTCTGTCCCACCAGACAGAGTTCCCAGATGGTAGGACCCCTGACTTCTGAGTTGTTGGATTTGTAGATACAAGGTAGGTTTACAGCAAATGAGGAACCCCTGCGGAGAAACCTAATGGGCCAGGCAGGTGCATGAGCAAAGTGTGCCAGGTACCCAGCACAGACATGCTCTACTGATATGTCAGATCTGCAGGAATATTCTTCATTTTCATAAGGAATACATTCCACTGACACCTCTAAAGGGGTAACCAYTGTGTAGCTGAAGCTGGTTGATGCTATGGGGAATACAAGATCAATATTGCCAGATCTTCCAGAGTTATAAGACATGCTATCAGTCTAAAGTGTTACATGAAAGCAGCAAGTTTTTAGAAATTAGCAGCTGAATATGGAAATATAAAGTCACTGTGTGGGCTCTAGATTGGGCCAGAGGATTATCATTTTGTGACTTTGGCCATGATACCCCATTAAAGATGTGAGCCAGGCTGGAGATGTGGCTCAAGCGGTAGCGCGCTCACCCGGCATGCGTGCGGCCCGGGTTCAATCCTCAGCACCACATACAAAGAAAGATGTTGTGCCCGCCGAAAACTAAAAAATAAATATTAAAAAAATTCTCTCTCTCTCTCTCTCTCTCTCTCTCTCTCTCTCTCTCTCTCTTTAAAAAAAAAAAAAAAAGATGCAAGACTCTGGAAGGCAGGGGTTGTCTCTTACTATTACACTCCTTTGTCTATCACAGAAGAGCCATGTGGTTGCCACTGCCATTGGTGAGATGGGTGAAGTCCCTAGTGTGCGGTGTATTACACCTTAGAAGCTGAGCAGAAGTGTTACAGGTGGGAGTGGGCAGATAGTGAAGCAGGGCAGGCACAGTATGGGGGATGGTGGCGTAGAGTAGGAAGCTGGTGAAAGCAGACTTGTCAGACCCTGGATCTCTGGGCAGCTTGAACTGCAGGAGTGTATGCAGCTGACCCTTCAGAGAAAAAAAGAGGAAGCAGGGGAAGGGTTGCAGGAAGCCTCTTCTTGCACAGAAGTTTAGGCGGATCCATTCTGACAGCAGATCCTTCATTTATTTATCCAACAAGTATTCATTGAGCTTATTATATGCTGGGTCTCAATTTAGGACTTYGGTATACTTCAGGGAACAGAAGTCACAAGATTGTACTGCAACAGAACTTACATTCTCTCCATCATTGGCAACCAGAAAGACTAATAAAGGTGACCCTTGTCCCAGGTGGGCTCCAAGGCTGAGGTCATGGGCACTGCTCACCTACCATCTCCTTCCCTGGTTTCCCAGCTGAGAATCAGTGCACTGAGAACACAGCTTCACAGTCAGTGGCCTGAGCCCTTCAGGGTTCCAACCTTTCAGGAAAACCTACTTATTTCCCCAGAGACATTTACCTTTTTATTTTTATTTTATTTTTTTTATTTTTTGACTCTGGGAGCACATGATTCAAAATCATTCTGTTTCTCATCCAGCTGGTGCCCCTGAAAGCAAAATGCCAGCGGGATTCCAGGATCCCTTCTCTTCCTGGGTTAATCAAGGATTTAGGCAGCCTCCCAGGGGGCCAGATGCACTGGGCTTTGTGGGACTTTGRGGCTGTTTCTTTCTAAAATTAGATCCTAGGACTTGTGTGTGTGCCCATTTACATTCCAATTCTGAGTATACTACTTGGTGTATTTATTTTTGTCCTCTCACTGGATTAATTGTGAAGATATCCATGAAAATGTAAATGTGGTACCTGGGAGCCGTCAGACATACTAGAATGAAGTGGGAATTAGTTTCAAACAAATAGTTATTTTAAAGTGAGGTGGTGGCATTGGGAACCCTGATGAAGGAAGCAGAGAGAACACAGGACTTGGCATCAGGAGACCAGGGCTGAGTCTGGGCACTGCTAATTGCCTGGATCTTAAACAAATCCACTAATCTCTTGAATCCTCCATTTCATTATCTGTCATGTGGTGCTAATAATACAGCTGGGTTGATGCAGGGATTAAGCGAGACCCATGTTTAACAGCCCTTTAATAAACTGAAAAGCACTGTGTAAGCATCCATTCACTTATTAAATACATTAGTGAATGAGTATTTAGATAGCTTTGCTGTTTTTATTAAAGGGCAGCAAAGAAAGAGAATGTGACCAGGGTCTCTTTAAGAGCTGATTTGGAAGTCTCTCAATGACTGTCACTCATTTAACCCTGAGTTGGTCAGCAGTGATCCATGTATTCCTTACGAAGGGCGTGTAAATCACAGATCTGGCCTGAAGTCCTGGCTGGGCCACATATTAATCCCACAATGAGAAGTCTCCCTAAGCCTCAGTTTCTTCATTGGTAAAAATAATAATAACATTATGTATTCGTAGGGTGGCTAGAAAGAAAAATGAGATAATATGTGGAAAGCCCCTAACAATCTGACATGGAAGTGCTCAGAATGATGCTAACCATTTATTTCTCTAGAACTTGTGTGTTCTCTAGAACTTGTGTGTTCTTTTAATTCTGCCCTTACTCTCCACTGAGATTGAAAGCTGCCCTCAGGCTGAAGTTAGCTTGCAGTCATATTTTGGTTGATTTGTACAGAGTTAAAGCTTTTAAAAATTTGGTTAACATTTAAATTTTTTTTTTTTAGCTATACATGGACACAACATCTTTATTTTGTTTATTTATTTTTATGTGGTGCTGATGATCAAACCCAGTGCCTTATATGTGCGAGGCAGGTGCWCTACCACTGAGCCACAGCCCCAGTCCTGGTTAACATTTTCAAATTGGGAAATTTCACACAAAAATCCAGTTTTGGGACTTGTCTTGAAAATCTGAAATTCTGACCCCATGGGAATGGTGGGCTGGTGTTCCTACATGGTGGCAGTTGGTTGGCGGTCCTGGTGGGGTTTACTCACACACAGCTAGCCCTGTCCAGTTCACCACTTCTTACTCTAATACACCTGATGAGATTTTCTCATTTGATCTTCCCAGCTCCTATTTCCACTTGAGTTTAAAACTCCCCCTCTTTTAGGTTGGATTGATTTCAAATATCTTCTGTGCCTATTGGTTTTGAATTTAGCTGAATGCAACTCCAATACTTCATTCAAAAAGGAGTTGTTGTTTTTCTCACACAGCAAAGAGTCCAGTGGAGGGCAGAGCAAAGTGTAGTCACTGGAGGATGTCCTGTGTCACCTTAGCTTTCCAGCTTCCCACTCTGCCATCTGGAGCTTATGACTTTTGTGCTTATGGTTGCAAGGTGGCCGATGTTTGTCTAGGGATCAGATCTGCATTCTAGGCAAGAAGAGAGGGAATAGTTGAAGAGTTTAAAGTGCATGCTAATTAAATTTGCCCTTTCTCACTAGGAAAACAGTAGCCAAAAGCCTCAGGAAGTAGACATCTARTCGCATTTCACTTGTCAGAACTGAGTTTTACAACTACCCTAACTTTCAAGGGAGTTTTATTAGGTTAGAGTTGTGTTTTTAACCACCACTGTTAAGCCTCAGGGGAGGTGTTTGTTTGTTTGTTTGTTGCAGTACTGGGGATTGAACCTGGGCCTCACACATTCTCGATAAGCACTGTAACCCTGGCCACATCCCCAGCCTGCACATGGGAGTTATTAACTGGACATATTGCTACATCCTAACATTGGAGTTTCTTGGTAAGGGAAGAGTGGCCATTGAGTAGGCAATACAAAACTCAYATGACAGTTTTTTAAAATAGAATTTATATGTAGAGTTGGTTTTTTTCCATAGATAAGAAAGGAAAGACTTGTTTTTAGTGGCTTAAAAAATTCACATTCCTCTCTTTAAGTTTTTAAATTTAAAGTTGTGTGGAGTTCACATTGTATGTTCTGGATTCCAGGATACCTGTTTGAGTTGTCTAGGTAACTCTCTCCTCCACCTTTTCCTCTCTTTGACTACCTCCTTAACCACAAGTGCTTTCTGCCTACAGGATACTTGTGGCTCCCCCCAGGTAATTAAACTATTCCTCTGTCTTGAGGATGAAAGGTCTCTTGATTAGTTGGTCATTCTATAAACTTCAAAGAACTGTTTAATTTCACTGAAGTACCAGGTAGAGGAGCCCTGTGGATTATTTTAATAGCTCAGAGTTGGAGATGCAGGTAAAGTTCTTAGCATAGTATGTACCAAATGGACCCCCCACCCTATTCCCAAGAAGTGGTAAGCAATAAGATAGCTTAAGACTCCACCTTTGTGTATGTGGTGGTAGCTGGTGGGGTGGGAGGGACCTGTCACACAAATCAGGCTTGGATCATCAGAAGCATAATTCAGTTAGCAATTCA